GCCAAGTCGATTGAAAAGTTTGTTAAAATCCGATTCTTTTGAACTCAAAACACTAAGGAAGGATTATTCCACTTTCGTGGTTCCAATCCCCTATGTCTCTTAAACCAATGGGCTCAGCTTTCGTTGGTCATTGTAGAGTGAGACATGCATTACATCCAAGTAATGATTGTTCACAAAACTCTTTAGGTCTACTTTCGTAGCCTAAAACGATTTGCCCATCAAATATTGTGTCCGGAGATATAACAAGCTTTTGGAGAGTATATCAACCTAAAATCAAGTCACTAGTTAGCTACTCTAGCAACAAGCATTAAGCATAAATAAAGATGGAGAACCATAGGGTTTCCCCTTTTAACAATCGATTCAAGATGGCCATTATTCACGTCCTCATTGGAAGGATCCATAATTCAACAATGAGTCTTAGATAGTAGATGAAGTCTCATGATCCTTAGAGAGAGAGGCGGCGGAATATAGACTAAACCGTGCCTCACCCTTAGGGAGAAATCTCTACTTCTAGACTATATAAATTGAAACATGCAAGCTATATACAAATGCAAAAGAAGAAAAGAAAGAAGAAGGAGACCACCTAAGTGGCTCCGAACTTTATTGAATAAGTGTTTCTTGTTATGCGGCTGGTGATTCTTATTACAAGAGGCTAAAAGCAAGTATATATAGGTAGAGAGCGGGTCTAGGTCGGCAAAGTTGAGCGCGCGCAGAAGAGGAAAGTTTCCATTTCTCTTTAGCCGCTTGAGCTTGCTCTCCAAGTTCTTGAATGGGCCGCGTTCAGGCCAATGGAAGCTTCTGGATTGAGTTATGCTAGTGTCAAGATGAGCCAAGGCCTTGGGCGCGGTATCTCGGGCCTCTTGATCCATCAAAGTCTCCATGGGCTCTACTTAGGCGCTCGTCGGACATGTCTTGGTAGAAAATAAGTTCCGGTCCAACGAGTGATCCAAATGACCTCTTTCCACTTCGCCGCGGGTCATGACTCAAATATCTATCTTTCCATATAAGAAACATGACTTTTGGACGTCGGGAAGGCATGAATATGCGGTCGTACTTCGGATGCTCCGGTTTGGTCTTTAGCGAGAAATGTAGATTTGGTGCTCTAGACTTGGGAACTTGGTGATTTGACTCTTTTTGCTCCATTTTTGACTCTTCTTTGCTATTTTGACCTGAATGATGCTCAAAACCAGAATATACAAGAAAACTACCTTTTGGGCATAAAAATCACATTATTTGTATTAAAAACATAGTGAAAACCTTGATAAAAACATGAAAGATATGGGTATATCAACTCCCCCAGACTTAGCCTTTTGCTTGTCCCCAAGCAAACTAAGAGAGGAAGAGAGGTTTGAAAACGCAAGAACTCTCAAATCATTAGGAAATCCGGGTTGGCTTAGTTTTAGTAATCCACATGAAAGTAGTAAAGGCAAATATTTGAATTAAGAACAAGAGTACATACCATGAGTTTTGCGATTTTTCCAAGGCGGCCCACCTCTCTTTGGACAATCCAATTCACCCTCCTTGACTCCTTTCATTTCTAAAGGTGTGGTCTCAACTAGGGAGTATCGATCAGCCGGCTTTAGACTCTTTCTCATTGATATACACATATATTAACATACATTAGCATACATTTTACATGCATATTTCCACCTATTGGCTTATTCTCATACATTTATATCCTCATATCTCTATTTATACTTTGCATCTTCATTAGGACTTGCATTGCATATACATTGCATTTTGAGTCTGATCAGGTACTTAATGGAGCTTTGGAGCCATTTGGGAGAAGGAGTGTTGGAGACGTCAAGACCAAAGAGCAACCAGGATGCGAACCAGGATCAGGAACCCGTTTGTCACCTTTCCTTGACCAAGAAGAGAGTTGACCACATCCAAGTGAAACGCGGCGTTTTGGAGCTTAAATCTTGGGGAAGGAAAGAAGAAGGGTTTTAGAGAGTCTCCACTATATAAACTTAAAAGTCCTAACTTTTTAGGCACCTTGTAATTTGTCTTTCATTTTGCCACCAAGAAATACTCTAAGTTGAGATCTAAACTTTGTAAGCTTTGGTCTCTTTCTCTTAATCAAATCACGTACTTGCTTATTTCATTATTGCATCTCACTCACTTGTTTGAACAACTCTTCCTCTTATGGATCGGTTTGTTCAAACAGGATGAGTGAGTAGTCTTTAGATTGTTTTAGGTGATTCGGTTTTGAGAGCTAAAGGAGAGTTTTGAGCTTAAAGCTAGACCTTTAGAGTTTCTCCTTGCTTAGTATCCTTAAGGCCTGTCATTTCTGATCATCTTGGCTCAGATCTCAAGCTCTCAACGCACATCAAAAGTGTGTTTGAGAGCTAGATAATCTAAGACAAGGGATCTACTTCTCTAGCTCGCGATAGCGTTTGTTTAGAGGGTTCTTTGGGTTGGGATCTGCGTTTAAAGCTTGCTTGTGTACAAGCTCACTGACGATAGTCAGCTCTTGAGTTTGAACCTTGCATTCGAGCTCATTCACGATAGTGATAAGCTCTTGCTTTCGTTTTCCTTAGCCTAGAAACTCGGTTTTATCTTTAAGTCTTAAAGTCTCTCCTTTAGCTCGATTTCCATCCGAAATCACCTAAAGCCATCGCCTTTCATCTTTCTTTTCATAAAGTTCAAGTCTTTTAGCTCAAAGTCGATTTCTTTCCTCTTTGAATCTTGATTTGGACCGTTATTTCACTGTTCTAAGTTTGTATTTTACTGTTTAACGTTCGGATTTCATAAAAACCAAATCTTGTTCTTGGCTTGAATTTTCTTGTTCTTGACCCAATCTTCTCCGAGATTTGGATTGATACCTTAAACTATACTGCAATGATATGAGCAGAGATTTGAGGGTTTGATTCACTAAAAATCTTGTTTTCAAACTGGCGCCGTTGCCAATCTTGGGGATTTGATTGGGATTTTTCGATTTTGGAAAAATTCAAGTTCAAGTTTTTAAATTTCTGCAACTTACTCACCTAATCTGCCTGGGCTTTGCTTTGTCTTACTCTCAGGTGTATGCAAACACGCTCTCGCGGCAAATCAAACTTGTTAAGCTCCGACGAACTTCAACGAGCTGAACGAGCTAAACGCGAGCGTCAACGGCAGAACAGAGTAGAAGCAGAGTCGAGTTCGGATTTCAGACAGGCTCCGAGTTACACTCAGTGACGACGACTCTGGTACCTGAGACGATGGCAGATAACCACGGAGGAGTCCTCCACCGGGAGCTTTTCCACCACAAGCCGGGAATCCAGCTCAAGCTCAACGTCCGGCAAGACAAATCGGAGCTGGCGATATTCCGACGATTCCAGCGAATCGTCCCGGCATTACCCCACCACCAGTCCCAAATTTCAACTTCGACATCAAGACAAGCTTGATAAACTTGGTGGAGAATTCCATCTTTCACGGAATGAAAGATGAAGATCCTTTGAAGCACTTGGAAAAGTTTGATAGAATTTGTGCTTTGCAAAAGATCAACAACGTCACTGAGGATGCTCTTAAGCTCCGATTGTTCCCTTCTCTTTGAGTGGACACGCACTAGCTTGGGAGTCTTCAATCCAACCTGGAACCGTGACAACTTGGGAACAATGCAAGCATGCCTTTCTTGCGAATTCTTCCCCACGTCAAGAACTGCTCAGCTAAGGAACAACATTGCGAGTTTCACTCAACAAACCGGTGAAACATTCTCAGAGGCATATGAGCGATTCAAGGGATATCAAATGAAGTGTCCTCATCACGGCTTCTCCAAAGAGAACTTACTAAGCACATTGTACAGAGGGTCTCCCCTAAGTACAAGATGCATTTGGATTCAGCTAGTAAGGGTCATTTTATGGGAATGGATGTAGAGATGGGCTCGCTTTGGTGGAGAATGTTGCTCTTAGTGATGGAAACTATCCAGAGGAGTATGATCGAAGTGATAGAGGAGATAGCTCAGTCAATGATGAGAAGCACAAGAAGGAGATCAAAACATTGAATGACAAGCTTGACAAGATCTTGACTGGCCAACAAAAGCAAGTTCACTTTGTTTGTGAGGATGATGTGAACCAAGAGGGGGAGGACCAACAAACTGAGGAAGTGTGCTATATGAGTAATCAGGGAGGTTACTAAAGGGTTACAACACAAACAACAACACGAACCTCTCTACCGCAGCACCAATGTGGAGAATCCACAAGACCAAGTCTACCCACCTCAACAAAACCAAAATCAAGGGGGCCAACAAACTGTTTACTTCAAGCGTGGTTACCCACCAAAGGTTTTTGGAATCAGAACCAAGGCTCAACTCAAGCTCAAGCAGGGAGCAACTCAAGTCAAGATCAGATATGAAGACCATGCTTCAACAATTAATCAAGGGCCAAACAAGTGGTGCTACTGAGCTAACACCAAGCTAGCCGAGATCAACAACAAGGTGATTGCTCTTACAATGACCTCAACAAGAAGTTGGAATCTTTAAACACTAAAGGTTCAACACTTGGAAGCTAAGAGCCACAACATACCTTCCTCTTCAAAGGGAATGCTTCCTGGAAAAGCAATCGCAAACCCAAAGGAGTATGTGCAAGCAATTACTCTTAAGAGTGGGAGAGTTCTTCCGGAGAGAGTGGTACCATCAAGAAGCAACGAGGACGTTGCGATTCAAGAGGAGGAGGAGTCAGTCGACATTGAAGCTGAGGAGAGGTTGAGAAAGAGTCAGTAGACCTGAGAAGCAGAGGACAACGCACCGGAGCCGTCAAAAGGAAACAAGAAGAGGAGGGAAACTCTTTTTGTTCCTCCACCATTCAAACCAATGCTGCCTTTCCCAACACGTTTCAAGAAACAAATGGCAGAGAAATGCAGAAAGTTTTTGATCAGCACTATCTGAGAGATTGAAAGATCCCTTTTATGCTCTCATGATGATCAAGCCTTATCAGAAATTTTTGAAAGATGCCATTTGGAGAGAACCAAGGAAGTGCAAGGCATGGTGGTATTGTCTCAAGAGTGTAGTGCTATAATTCAAAGCAAGACAGTAACAAAGAAGCTTGGTGATCCTGGAAGCTTCACTCTCCCTGTTCCTTGGGACCTTTAGCATTCAAGAAAAGTTTGTGTGATTTGGGGCAAGTGTAAGCATAATGCCTTTGACTGTGGCAAGGCGTTTGGGTTTTGAGAAATACAAGGAGTGTCATTTCTCTCTGATCCTTGCTGATAGATCAGTTAAGCTTCCAGTAGGTATGCTTGAAGATATGCCACTCAAGGTGGGAAGTGTGATAGTTCCAACTGACTTTGTGGTAGTAGAGATGGATGAAGAACCCAAAGATCCTCTGATTTTGGGAAGACCTTTCCTTGCCACTGCTGGAGCTATAATTGATGTGAGAAGAGGCAAGATTGAGCTGAATTTGGGTAAAGACTGCAAGATGGTGTTCAATGTAAAAGATGTTATGAAGCAACCAACTATAAATGGTGAGTCGTTTTACATTGAAACACTTGAGCAGCTAGCCGAAGACTACTTGGAGGAATTGGGAGTTGAGGATAAGCTGCAGCTGGCTTTGACTAAGGATAATGAGGAGTTTGGATGTCTACAAGCAGAGAGTATGGGTTATGCTTGGCTTATGGACTCACACAGAGCAGCAAAAGAAGGGACAGGCTTTGAGGAGTTGGTTCAGTCAGAAACGAAGAGCATCCGGGATGGAAAACAGGTTGAGAACCTGTTTGCTCTAGAGTCCAAACCAAAGGAGGAAAGCTCTCAAGAGCAAGGCACGGACGATGACTGGTCTGAGCTCAAGGCTCCCAAAGTCGATCTCAAGCCACTCCCAAAGGGGCTCAGGTATGCGTTCTTAGGCTCTAACTCCACATACCCTGTCATTGTCAATGATGCATTAGACCCCCATGAGCTTGAAACCCTCCTTGTCGAGCTGCGAAAGTACAGGAGAGCTCTTGGATACTCGCTGGACGATATCAAGGGTCTCTCCCCTACTCTATGCACTCACAGGATCCATCTCGAAAATGAATCAAAGGGATCTATTGAGCATCAGCGTAGGTTAAACCCCAATCTTAAAGAAGTAGTAAAGAAAGAAATCTTGAAGCTTCTTGATGCAGGAATCATTTACCCTATTTCGGACAGTACTTGGGTTTCTCCAGTACATTGCGTCCCAAAAAAGGGTGGGATTACTGTCATCAAGAACGAAAAGAATGAATTGATCCCAAGTAGGACAATAGTTGGACATAGAATGTGCATTGATTATCGTAAGTTAAATTCTGCATCAAGGAAAGATCATTTTCCTTTGCCATTCATTGACCAAATGCTTGAAAGGTTGGCATGTCATCCATTTTACTGTTTCTTGGATGGCTACAGTGGTTTTTTCCAGGTTCCAATTCATCCAAATGACCAGGAAAAGACCACATTTACATGTCCATGGCACCTTCGCATATCGAAGAATGCCATTTGGATTATGTAATGCCCCAGCAACGTTTCAAAGAGCCATGCTTTCAATCTTTTCGGATCTAATAGAGGAAATGGTTGAGGTCTTCATGGACGATTTCTCGGTCTATGGCTCTTCCTTTTCCTCTTGTTTGTCTAATCTATGTAGGGTGCTGAAAAGATGTGAGGAAACAAGCTTGGTTTTGAATTGGGAGAAGTGCCATTTTATGGTGAAAGAGGGGATAGTCCTTGGCCACAAGATCTCAGAGAAAGGCATTGAAGTGGACAAGGCAAAGATAGAAGTAATGGTGCAACTTGGGGAGCCAAAATCAGTTAAGGATGTGAGAAGCTTCTTGGGACATGCGGGTTTCTACAGGCGCTTTATCAAAGATTTTTCTAAGATAGCAAGGCCACTCACAAGACTCTTATGCAAAGAAACAGAGTTCATCTTTGATGAAGAGTGTAGCCAAGCTTTCTTGAAGATCAAGGAAGCCCTTGTTAGCGCACCAATTGTCCAAGCTCCAAATTGGGATCTCCCCTTTGAGATAATGTGTGATGCCTCAGACTTCGCAGTTGGAGCAGTGCTTGGTCAGAAGGTGGATAAGAAGATGAACGTCATCTACTACGCAAGTAGAACGCTAGATGATGCTCAAACCCGTTACGCGACAACCGAGAAAGGAATTACTAGCCGTGGTGTTTGCTTTTGACAAGTTCAGGAGCTACATTGTGGGCTCAAAGGTCATAGTTCACACCGATCACGCAGCTCTCAAGTATCTCTACACCAAGAAAGATGCTAAACCGAGGCTGATTAGATGGGTTCTCTTGCTTCAAGAGTTCGATATCGAGATCGTGACAAGAAAGGCACCGAGAATAGCGTGGCCGATCATCTATCAAGATTGAGGATTGAAGGAGATGTTCCCATCGATGACTCTTTGCCTGAGGAGCAACTTATGGCTGCTAAGATCGTGGATAGAGGCTATTTGACCAAGTGCCGTTTGGAGGAAGAAAGGATAGCAAGAGGAGAAGAGGTTCCGTGGTACGCTGACTTTGTGAACTACTTGGTGTAGGGAAGTTCCAAGTGGATGGAGTGGTTACCAGAGAAAGAAGTTCTTCAAAGATGTGGTTCACTACTACTGGGATGAACCCTATTTGTTCAGAAAAGGGAATGATAACTTGTTCAGAAGATGTGTAGCTAAGGAAGAGGTTGAGGGAATTCTGTTCCATTGCCACGGGTCAAGCTATGGAGGCCATTTTGCGGTTTTAAAACGGTCCAGAAGGTGTTGCAAGCAGGTTTTTGGTGGCCAAGTATGTTCAAAGATGCTCATGCCTTCATCTCTAAGTGTGAGGCTTGTCAAAAGGCAGGGAACATCACGGCTAGGAACGAGATGCCTCAGAATCCTATCTTGGAAGTTGAAGTGTTTGACGTATGGGGAATAGATTTTGTTGGTCCTTTCAACCCGACATCTCACGGCAATGCTTACATTCTAGTGGCCGTTGATTATGTCTCAAAGTGGGTGGAAGCCATAGCCGCACCAACAAACGATGCCAAGGTGGTCCTCAAACTATTCAAGACTATAATCTTTCCCGGTTTGGAGTTCCAAGATGTGTGATCAGTGATGGGGGATCTCACTTTGTCAACAAGGTGTTTGAAAATCTCTTGAAAAAGTATGGGGTGAAGCACAAGATAGCCACACCATACCACCCTCAAACCAGTGGTCAAGTAGAGGTTTCTAACAAGCAAATCAAAGCCATACTCCACAAGACAGTGAACTCATCAAGGAAGGATTGGTCAGAGAAGTTGGATGATGCTTTATGGGCTTACAGAACTGCTTACAAGACACCAATTGGAAGGTCTCCATACTCTTTGATCTATGGGAATCTTGTCATTTACCTCTTGAGCTGGAATATAGAGCTAGATGGGCAATTAAGTTCCTAAACATGGAGCTAAGTACAGCTCAGGAGAAGAGGGAAATGGACCTCCACGAGCTAGAGGAGATTCGCTTGGATGCTTATGAGAGTTCTCGGAATATACAAGGAGAGAACTAAGGCCTTCCATGACAAGAGAATCACTCCCAAGGTTTTCAAGGAGGGAGACGATGTGCTCCTCTACAACTCAAGGCTCAAGCTATTCCCTGGGAAGCTTAAGTGTCGCTGGTCAGGACCATTCAAGGTCAAGGAAGTGTTGCCTTATGGAGCCATCACCCTAGTGAACAACAATGGAGCTGAGTTCACGGTCAACGGTCATCGGTTGAAGAGGTACATGGGGAGTCAAAGCATTGGGAGGGAAGTTCAATCCGTCTCCATGATCCACCCCAAGCCTAAAACGGCAATGAAAGTCAAGCTATGGGACTCAAAACAAGCTCACTTGGGAGGAAGTCCCATGGTTATCCTTTTGTAAATAGTTTTATGTTTTTTTATCTAGCTTTGTTTTTGTCTAATGTGTTTTGTAGGAATGATTCAAGAAGAAGCTGAGAGAGAGTTAAGGAGTTGGAAATGGGCAGTTCTATAAAGACATTTCTTGTCCAAGAGCTTAAGTGATTCAACTGCCCAATCCAACACTCCTTTGACTCTATCTCAGCTTAACCGGGTGAATTCTAAAGCAGACGGGTTGTCAACCAGGTTCTGACAACCCGCGTCAGTAAGTGACCCGTTTCTTTTTGAATTTTTTTTAGAAGAAACCCTTTTCTTTTCTCCTTTATTTTAAAACTCGGGGTTTCTTCTTCTTCAAAAAGCTTTTTCCCCGATTCTCTCTACACGAAAATCTCGGATTTCTTCGTTTCTCAACCAAAATTCGAATTTCAAAGCTCAAATTTCTTTAAATCCGCCGCTCGATCAAGCTTAACTCGATTCATCTTAATCTGACAGTCCAATCAAGGTATCCGATCCTAGCTTTTACTCCTTCACTTCCGGTTTTTCTTCTTTTTAAGAGAAACCCGTTTGTTGCTATTCTTGAGTAGATCCGGGGTGATTGCGACTAGGCTAAGATGATTTCGAGTTTGCATGTAGGAAATTTCGTGCTTTGAAGTGAATCTCGAAGCTAGGTTTTTCAAAATGTTCTTAAGTTTATCTAGCTAAATCTCGAGGTTCACAGCATGTTTTTAAAATTTCCTGTTAAATGATCTTGAGTGGTTGGATTTGAAGGTTTTGAGCTCGTTCTTAATCGAAAAATCGGATTTGGTTTAAACCGAGGGTTTGGATTAGTTTCCTCGTTTGTGGTTGTTCTGGAAACAGAGGCTAATTGTCTTGTGAGGATTGTTTATCTCTCAGGTGCAATGGCAAGAACCAAGTTCACTGGTGGACAAACTCGCGAGGACTGGGAGAGGGCGAGAGAAGAAAAACGTGAGGGAAAGAAAAAGATGGACTATAGCACCAAGAGGAAGCCAGGGGCGAGCAGAGAGTCGGCTCCGAAGTGGCCAGAGACCGGTGGGCAAGACATGGACGAGTCAGTGATCCCACGTCCCTATGGAATTCAGAACGCATCCGTATCTTGCGAAGGATGCAGTTCATGTCGATGCGCTACCCACATCCGGAGACCATCAAGGAACTGGGGATAGAGGAGGATGTGAATGGCATCCTCTACTACACTGAGCTTGGGGAATTCACAAAACTGGCCCTTCCGGCGTACAGAGAGCCCGTGATAGAGTTCATTGCTTCACTACGGCTTAAGTTGCACCCTAAAGAAGCCGCTGCTGAACTCAAGAGGGATGGGGCCGGATACATCACTTTCAAACTCTTGGGGCAGGACTACCTGTTTAGTATGTTGGAGCTGGAAACCATTTACCAGTTTGAAGAAGACCGGGGTCTCGACACAGAGGTATACGTTCCGGCGACAGAGCTTCATGCCCTTTGGAAGATCATCAGCTCAAGAACCTATCAGATCTCCAAGAACAAAAGCGGTAATATCAAAAACCCGGCCATACGCTATGCTCACAAAGTGATAGCCAACACCATCTTTGCCAGACATGACTGTTCGAACGTCACGACGCAAGAACTTGAGCTGCTTGACGCCGGCATCCTCCAGAAACTGGAAACCTTGGACGACGGAAAGGAGATGCAAGGGAATTTGAGGCAAACAAGCATGGCAATTGTGATGGTGAACTCCTTCCTGCACATCATGAGGAATGCAGAACTCTCCTACGAACAAGGCAAAATCAAGGAGGCACACTTGGTGATTGGCAGCATGATCACTCCGATCCTCCTTGCCAGCAAAGTCAAGCTCCCGGCCCCTTCACACCCGCCCCTGTTTATGGATGTGCCCTATCTGAACAAGACTTGGTTCCTGCGAGGAACCCATGAGGGCAGGCACATCTATCGCTTCGAGCATCCCACGTATGGAATCTCAAGGTTCTATTACCGAACACTGAGCTTACAAACACCAACACCCGGGAAGGAATCCTGTTTCTCCCAACTACGGATCAATTGTTCATAGATGGAGGCGACGCAACAGTCGAGGGAGAACAAGGGAGAGACGAAGGAGAGCCTTCGGAAAGGAAGCCAAGCGAAGCTTGGTGAGTTCGACTTCACGCCTTACAGCACGGATGGGTGCGTTCCAGCAATCGTCAAGGCGCACGAGCACATTGGCTTACTCCAGAAGTGGTGCAAGAAACAGGATGATGTGATCAAAAAGCTCACGGAGACGGTCAATGTTCTTCAAGAGAAGCTCTCCTGCAAGTCACCTAAAGCAACCAAAGCGCATCACCAATCAAAACCGTGGAGCTACCGTTAAGGAGAAGCAAGCGGAAGCGGAGAACCAGAGCATCACCACCTCCAACGTCTTCAACAGAGCCAATTGACCTTGACGAGTGTCCCACACCTCCCTCCCCGGATCAATAGAAGGTAGACTCAACTCATTGTAAATACCACTCATTTTTTTTTCTCTGTTTTTGCATCTCTTTGATGGATCTCTTCTTCATTCTCTTCTGTGCACAAGAGACTGTGCACTTTAAGTTTGGGGGAGAGGTCCATAGCATTTGATCATGTTTTCTGTTTTCTTATTTTCAATTTTCATCTTGAGTCTCATGTAGTTTGCATTTGCATATATGGCATAGAAAAACCAAAAATTTCAAAAAAATTGCATTCTTCAAAAAGAAAAGCATCATGAGCATTTGCATTTTAGGATTGAGTCTAGATGCATATCATCCCATTTGCATAGAGGACAATGAGGAATAAAAGTTTGTGATTTTTCGAAATGGTTTCAATGGTCCGGTTTTGAATCATTTGGTGCATATAGAGTGAGCTTGAAGTTAAGAAAGAACCACACCTTGAATGCACTCTTTGACATCTAGAATCGGCTGAAACATTGTTGTGATTTGATCTCTCATCCTGCTTATCAAAACCTGAATTTGATTGTTAATTATCATCCTTGTGCATTTGCTAAGAACTCGCGGATACATATACATACTTGGATTATCTTTCACCCTTTTCACCACTCTTGTTAATCCAAGTAGATTTCCCCACCTTGAACCAACCTTTCTTTGAAACCAAGTTGTTATTTCTGAGTGTGTAAGGCCTTTTTGGTTGAGCTTGGTAGAAAGTGTTGGGTTTTTACCGACAAGGTCTAGGCTTCCATGTAGATTCTAGCTCTGTCCTTTGAGCTAGTTAGGACTAAGTTTGGGGGAACACCGTTTGGGCTTGGGGAAGTTCTGAAAAGAAAGGAAAAGGGAAAGAGTTCCGAAGGAAAGTCCTAAAAAGGGAAGAAAAAGTTAAGCCGAGTCCCTTAGGAGAGAGTAGTGAAAGTGTTATGCTCTAGTGAAGGTTTGGGAAAGAAATAAGAAAAAGCTCTAGCTAGAAATAAAAAAAAAAAAGAAAGGCAAAAGCCAATTTAGAAAAGAGCCTAAAAAGCCAAACAAAAGGAAGATCCCAAACCGCTAGATGAAGTTTAGAAACCTCTCCTAAGGACTTGAAAGCAAAAGAAAAGAAAAAGGTAAAAGAGTTAAGTTTGGGAAACAGGGGATTGCACTTCATTGTTTTTGGGTAGATGGAAGTCTAGCCTTGTATCATCCTTGGTTTTCACCCTTAGCATTCTACTAAAGCTCAACCTTCTTTGAGAGATCCCTTGTGCTGATTTTGAAACCAGAAAACAGGACCATCTTTGTCCTTTGAAGCTTATCCCTTTAAGCCAAGCGAGCTCTTTGAAATGCATAAGTGGTTGATTCACGGTTCTGTTATAATTGAATGTTAAAGGATGAGAGCTATTTGAATGCATTGTGGAAGTTGAGCCTAGTGTTTTTCTGTTGCTTTGATGGGTGTGGCTAAAATTTTAGAAGTAGAGCTCATTCGCCTTGCATTTTATGATTCTCAACCTGATCATTGACTTCATTTCCTCTCATTGCACTCTTGAGTTTCGAGTCCTTGTTATATCAGCATTTCTCAGATTTGTCTTCTCGCTTGAGGGCAAGCAAGATTCAAGTTTGGGGGTGTTGATATACACATATATTAACATACATTAGCATACATTTTCATTCATATTTCCATCCTATTGGCCTTATTCTCATACATTTACATCCTCATATCTCTATTTATACTTTGCATCTTCATTAGGACTTGCATTGCATATACATTGCATTTTGAGTCTATCAGGTACTTAATGGAGCTTTGGAGTCATTTGGGAGAAGGAGTGTTGGAGACGTCAAGACCAAGAGCAACCAGGATGCGAACCAGGATCAGGAACCCGTTTGTCACCTTTCCTTGACCAAGAAGAGAGTTGACCACATCCAAGTGAAACGCAGCGTTTTGGGGCTTAAATCTTGGGGAAGGAAAGAAGAAGGGTTTTAGAGAGTCTCCACTATATAAACTTAAAAGTCCTAACTTTTTAGGCACCTTGTAATTTGTCTTTCATTTTGCCACCAAGAAATACTCTAAGTTGAGATCTAAACTTTGTAAGCTTTGGTCTCTTTCTCTTAATCAAATCACGTACTTGCATATTTCATTAATTGCATCTCACTCACTTGTTTGACAACTCTTACTCTTTGGAATCGGTTTGTTCATCAAGCATGAGTGAGTAGTCTTTAGATTGTTTTAGGTGATGTGGGTTTGAGAGCTATAAGAGAGTTTTGAGTCAAAGCTAGACCTTTTGAGTTCTCCTTCTCTTAGTATCCTTAAAGCCTTGCCATTTCTGATCATTCTGGCTCGGATCTCAAGCTCTCAACGCAACAAAAAGTGCGTTTGAGAGTTGGAAAATCTAAGACAAGGGATCTACTTCTCTAGCCCGCGATAGCGGTTTGTTTAGAGGGTTCTTTGGCGTTGGGATCTAAGCTTAAAGCTTGCTTGTGTACAAGCTCACTGACGATAGTCAGCTCTTGAGTTTGAACCTTGCATTTGAGCTACTCACGATAGTGATAAGCTCTTGCTTTCGTTTTCCTTAGCCTAGACTCGGTTTTATGCTTTATGTCTTAAAGTCTCTCTTTTAGCTCGATTTCCACTCACAATCACCTAAAGCCATCGCCTTTCATCGTTTCTTTTCATAAAGTTCAAGTCTTTTAGCTCAAAGTCGATTTCTTTCCTCTTTGAATCTTGATTTGGACCGTTATTTCCACTGTTCTAAGTTCGTGTTTTTATTGTTTAACGTTCGGATTTCATAAAAACCAAATCTTTGTTCTTGGCTTGGGATTTTCTTGCATTTCCTTGATTCCAATCTCCTCCAGGATTTGGATTGATACCTTAACTATGCTGCAATGATATGAGCAGAGATTTGAGGGTTTGATTCACTAAAAATCTTGTTTCCACTCATCCCCTTGTTTTGGCACTTGTCTTTTTACTCCATGTTTCTCCTCTCTCTCTTCTCACTTCTTTGAGTTGACTCATCCCTTTTTTAGGGTAGCGAAGTATTTTTTTATTCAACTCCTTCTCTTTATTATAGAGGTTTTGCTTGGATCTTCCACAGACGCGAGTATTGATGGTGTTTGCCACCGAATCCCCGGTTGCTTGGATTCATAGGCCTTCCATAGACGCGAGTATTGATGGTGTTTGCCACCGAATCCCCGGTTACTTGGACCTTACGCTTTTTCTTTAAATTTGAAGGGGAGAGAGAGGGAAGCACGAACTCACTAAGACTTTTTCATTTGATGGAGAGGATGAGGAATCATGCCATTTGTATGCCAAGCCCCTAGCTGAGAAGATTAAGTTCATTAAGGGCGGAGTCAAGAGTGGATCCTTCTCAAGTCCTTGGAGGTGTGGGCGTTTTTGGTAGATCGATCAACTCATAGTGTCCCTGTGGTAAGATGTATTGCCAAGACTGCTTCAATGGTCACTTAAACGTTAGCACAACAATGGTTAGATCCAAGATAAGGTCATAATCCTTTGACAAAATTTTGACTCAATAAAACGACTCAATGAAATTCAAAAAGAACAAACTTGTTAGTAATCCCCCCAGACTTAACTTGCACCGTCTCGGTGTAAGAAAAATCCAATTAAGAGAGGTAATGATAAATAGAATGGAAAAGTTAGAGTTTGTAGAAAATTGTACCCAAATTTTGGCCTTTGATGTGAAGATCGGTTGTGCATAGGAGGTTGCTTCCAGGAATGAACTGACTGGTGCAAACATCATAGCTGTTGGATTTGGTTGGATGAATGTGACAATTCTCCCTTGGTTTTCTGTTTTTCGCCTTTTTGGCCGAGACTGGTCCGTTTTGGTCGACCGGATGGTGATGGTATGGACTACAGCTCGAACCGTGAAGATTTCCTCGACCTATCTTGAAATTTCGTCGACCAATATTGTATAATATGGCGACTGGTGAAGTTTGGGGTCGTTTGAACGAGTGGTTTGAGATCTCCTTTGAAAAATTTTCAAATTGGCTCCGGGAACGTCTTCCGTCGGTCTTCTCCAATTCTGCTCGTTCCAATCTGGATTTTCTTCTTTAGATGCGATGTGGATGCTTGATGGAGGTGATTTGAGCCGGTGGCCGCGGTAAATGCCGTGATTTGGATTGTCGGCCATTTTACTTGCTCGCGATCGGCCAAATTTGCTCCATCGGCCATCTCTTGAATTGTAAGGAATTCATTGTACTGAAATGAATTTCATCGACCAACCTTATGTTTTGTGGCTCCTTGTGAAGTTTGAGGCGATTTGAACGTGTGGATTCGGAGATCTTTCGTCGTGCGCGCCAATGGCTCGGGATGTGATTCCTTTGGCCATCTCTTATCTGTTCGATCGTCTCCTTCCTTTCTTCTTCCTTGGTGTTTTTTGGACTCCAGAGGATCAGTTTCCACCGGTGTTCGCGCCTTCTTGAGGTTTTGAGTTCGTCGGCCATTCTATGCATCGCCGTCGGCCGTATTGAGCTTCCTTGTCTATCTCAGCAGGCACTTTTTCTCGTCCTATCTTTTGGATTTGCCGACCAAAATGATGTTTTGAGGTCGCCTGTGAAGTTTGGTGGACTTCGGTCGTGCCGTTTGGGAGATGGTCGAGCATTGTCGCTTGGTTCGTCGATTCTGGCCGAGAGAGTGATTGTGAATGTGATATCTCCTTTTTTACTCGGGCCAATTGAGTTCTGCTTCGACCGAACTGTTTTTCTATCCCTCCTGGATTGAATTGTGGTTGGATTTCCCTCATCTCTCATGTTTGGCATGTAAATCCTCCTTTGGCCGGTTGTGGCTCCTTTGCGCGCCATGTTTGTATGATATTTTGAACCGGTTCTCCTGTCATATTTTATCTGAAAAACACTAGTAACTCTTTGTTAAACTCTGTCAATGATTGAGATGTTCAATATTTGAACTTCCCAATCAAAGACTTGATCGTGACACTACATGTACTTGGGATCTTGATCAGAGATCCAAGTAGTGTTCATGTGTGAAATAATGTAGAGATAATGTTTTGAGAAATGACATTTGAAGTGGAGAGATACTTACCTTTGCCTTGTGCAATAGTGTTCCAATGGCCGGATTTTATTGTGCCGTGGCCCTTCTTGGACTTCTTTGCTTCTTGAAACATGGGTGGGACTTGGGTGGGACTCAAACTAGACTCAATGCTTCATACTTAGACCAAAGATGGTTGATCTTGGGTCGTCGTGGCGATGTAGCTTTCCAATGCATTTTTCATGTAAGCCTCCTTTTTGGTACTTTTTCCTAAAACACTTTTTATTTTATTTTTGTAAAATTTATTAAACTCTCAAAAATTTAAGAGTTATAAATAGAACAAATAAGTAGTTATAAAAATAAAAACAAAAATAAAAAGAGGAAGGGATAAGAAAATGTGGGTTGCCTCCCACAAGCGCTTGTTTTAAGTCTTTGTAGCTCGACTCCTTTGTGTTCTTAGTTAGGTAGGATTGGTGGCTCCAAGAACTTCCTGTTGCCTGATGATTCCAAGTGCATCTTGTCCTGTAGAACTTCCTTGATCAAGTAGCCATGCGACTCTCCTCTTACTTGTGAGCACTCTCCTCCACTTGTGTAGCGAAATCGCTTGGATGAGAAACCGGGAGGTGCAGCATCGTAGAAGGTGTCCTTGTCAACATTGGCTAGAGAGATTCTTCTATTAGGCCAATCCATGATCGCTCCAGCTGTGGCTAGGAATGATCTTCCAAGCAAAAGCTTTAAGTCCTCCGGATCCTTCATGGTTACTACATAGAAGTTGGCTGGAACTATGCAGCCTCCAAAATCAAGCTGAATGTCTTTAACCTCTCCAAGTGGTTCGGTCAATGATGAATCAGCTAGCTTTAAATCCATTCGAGATTTCACAATTGAATTGATCAATCCCAACTTCTTGGCTATCTCGGCCGGCATAAGGTTCACACTAGAACCGGAATCGCAAAGAGCATCATCAAAGTAGCTTCCATTGATAGAGAAATGTATAAGGAAGTAACCTGGGTCATGAAGCTTGTGTAGAAACCTAGGTTTAGGCATCCCCTTTCTTGCTTCCTCGTACATCTTTTCCAATTCAGCTAGACTCCAATCTTGTGTCCAAGCTAGGTCTTGCATGAATGGACTCTTGTTGCAAGCATTATCAAACGGCACACCATAAGGGAATCTCCTCGCCATAAAGTTGAAATCATCTATGATCTCTTCAAGTGATGATCTTGTCTTCCTCTTCTCCTTGGTGGGAGGCGGTTGTGAAGACCTTTGAGTAAGGGTTCTTCCTTTTGGTGCTATCTTTCTCTTGTTCCAGTGGTTAGCCTTGTGGCTCTTTCTTGATCAGCTCTACTTTCTTCTTCATCCCAAATCACTCTTGGGTCGGTCTCTCTTATAGTAAAGACGGGCGCGGCATGGTTGTGCTTAGGAACGGTCGTCTTTGCCTCGGTCAAGACCTTCTCTTCCAAGTTGGCTAAGCGAGTGGTTAAATCCTTGACTTCCTTGGAGACTCCATCTACTTTGTCTTCAAGCCCTCTAGCTCTTCTTTGAATATCTTGGCTCCTCTTGTCTAGAGAGATGTGTAAATCTCGGATTTGTGCCTTCACTTGTTTTTGCCCTTCCACCAATGTAAGCATCGTCGAGTAACATTGCCTCTCCTTTAGTGTCACTTCGGCTACCTCCCTCTTAGCTTGATGAGCTACTGCTGTTATTGAATTGAGACTCTTGGTGGTGCCATCGAGGTTGTTATCAAGACTTGTGATCTTCTCATCTAAGTGATTGTCCATCTCCTTGGTAGAAACTTTGGTAAAGTGTATCGCTCTCCTATTGTCTTCAATGGCCTCGCCTTGCTTCTTCAAATCTTCCTCCATGTCCAAGCATCTTGACTCTACTCTCTCTATTTGGGTAGAGAGTTCTCCAAGTCTTCCATCTAGTTCGTATCGCGTGAACTCTAGCTTTGTCTCAATGTCGCGGCTAGTTTTCTTTGGCTCTCCATGAAACCCTCAAGCACGGCATCGAAATGGCTATCTCTCCGCCTATTGAGAACATGGTCGTGGTGTGAATGCAACACTGGTCTAGGTGGTTGATGATAAACCGGAGGTCGGTTTTGATGATGATGGTAATGATGCTCGTCTCGGCTAGGTCCTTCAAACGTCGGATGAGCGCGGTTGGGAGGGAACGGATGTGGCACGATGCTTACGGCTGGGTCTTGGTAACTCCGGCCGTGGAGATCGTGTGGGATCAGTGTCCGGTTCCCAAAGTGGATGTTGGTGTTGTGATTCATCTCCAAGTACCTATAAACACAAGATTTAAAAAGAAAAAGTTAGTATTCGAAAATACCAAGATCTAGACTTAGTTTTAAACAAGACTATGCAAGTGTTTATGATGCAATCCCCGGCAACGGCGCCAAAAACTTGATGCGGCATCTATGGGATGAGTACAAGTAATAATTCCCTAAGACAACTAGTGTTGCAAGTGCACAACATATAATTGTAGTATTTAGGGGTCGAACCACAAGGGATTGGATTTCACACATTACATAATCATAGAGTTTAAATGACTAAGCTAAATCAAAAGATGCAAGGGTTTGTGTTTGTTTAGAACACGCAAAAGAAATAACAATGCAATTCTATACAAGCAACATTATTGAACTATTGAAAACTCTTTTGAAAACATGAGCCAAGTCGATTGAAAAGTTTGTTAAAATCCGATTCTTTTGAACTCAAAACACTAAGGAAGGATTATTCCACTTTCGTGGTTCCAATCCCCTATGTCTCTTAAACCAATGGGCTCAGCTTTCGTTGGTCATTGTAGAGTGAGACATGCATTACATCCAAGTAATGATTGTTCACAAAACTCTTTAGGTCTACTTTCGTAGCCTAAAACGATTTGCCCATCAAATATTGTGTCCGGAGATATAACAAGCTTTTGGAGAGTATATCAACCTAAAATCAAGTCACTAGTTAGCTACTCTAGCAACAAGCATTAAGCATAAATAAAGATGGAGAACCATAGGGTTTCCCCTTTTAACAATCGATTTTCGATGGCCATTATATCACGTCCTCATTGGAAGGATCCATAATTCAACAATGAGTCTTAGATAGTAGATGAAGTCTCATGAATCCTTAGAGAGAGAGGCGGCGGAATATGGACTAAACCACGCCTCACCCTTAGGGAGAAATCTCTACTTCTAGACTATATAAATTGAAACATGCAAGCTATATACAAATGCAAAAGAAGAAAAGAAAGAAGAAGGAGACCACCTAAGTGGCTCCGAACTTTATTGAATAAGTGTTTCTTGTTATGCGGCTGGTGATTCTTATTACAAGAGGCTAAAAGCAAGTATATATAGGTAGAGAGCGGGTCTAGGTCGGCAAAGTTGAGCGCGCGCAGAAGAGGAAAGTTTCCATTTCTCTTTAGCCGCTTGAGCTTGCTCTCCAAGTTCTTGAATGGGCCGCGTTCAGGCCAATGGAAGCTTCTGGATTGAGTTATGCTAGTGTCAAGATGAGCCAAGGCCTTGGGCGCGGTATCTCGGGCCTCTTGATCCATCAAAGTCTCCATGGGCTCTACTTAGGCGCTCGTCGGACATGTCTTGGTAGAAAATAAGTTCCGGTCCAACGAGTGATCCAAATGACCTCTTTCCACTTCGCCGCGGGTCATGACTCAAATATCTATCTTTCCATATAAGAAATCATGACTTTTGGACGTCGGGAAGGCATGAATATGCGGTCGTACTTCGGATGCTCCGGTTTGGTCTTTAGCGAGAAATGTAGATTTGGTGCTCTAGACTTGGGAACTTGGTGATTTGACTCTTTTTGCTCCATTTTGACTCTTCTTTGCTATTTTGACCTGAATGATGCTCAAAACCAGAATATACAAGAAAACTACCTCTTGGGCATAAAAACCACATTATTTGTATTAAAAACATAGTGAAAACCTTGATAAAAACATGAAAGATATGGGTATATCAATATATATAATTATTTTTTGTTTTATTTTTGTCTTCATAACCAATAATAAAGTTCAACAAAATCTATTGCGATCATGCAAACCCTACCTTTACAGCTTCCAGAGCCGAAAATTCTTCATACTGATGATCATAATGTCAAATTGAATAGGCCGGAGAATAAATTTGCAGCTTGGATGGAATGTAATCAGGAAAATCCGGATGTTAGGACATTACTTTACACCGAGTTTCTATCTAGATGGGTTTTGTCCGAGAAAGAGAAACAATGGCGTTGTAGGCAACGACGTAGCAGGGCATCGGATAATGTACGTTTACCTAATGTCCCACGACAAATTGGCGAAGCCTACTATCTTCGAATGTTACTTGATGTCGTTAGAGGGCCAAGGAATTACACAGATTTGATAACAGTTGAAGGTGTTTTTCACTATAGTTTCAGACAGGCATGTCTAGCATTAGGTTTGGTTGAAGAATAAGTTGGTGCCCATTCATTTATTTAAATTTTTAAACAATTGTTTTTTTTTTGGGTTTCTTTTGAAGGTATTCTAATAATAGATTATTCTATTTGTTATTTTATATTTTAGTTTTATATTTACATATTTTTGTTAATCAATGGCAATGTTTACCAGTTTACTATACAATAATTCTTTTTTTTTAAATGAGGATTGAGTAATCACTCATACCATTATTATTAACACATATAATAGTCAATATTCCTATTAATTAATTTTCAAGAATTAAGGATATTTTTATAGTTTAATAATTAGAAACATAAAGTTTTTAAAAACGCACCAAAAACTAAACCCTAAACCCACCATTATAAACCCTACCAGAAAAAACCTAACCCAAGAATAACAGAACCCCCCATCCGTACAGTACACCATGAAGGCATGAACCCTAAACCTAAACCACCCCTTCACCACCCCATCTGTACATTAGACCATTACTTTTCTCTTTTTAATTTATTTATTGTAATTGTTGTCGTTCGGCAAATACTTTATTTCATAAATTAAGTTATTGAATTGTTGTTAGTTTCTTGATATTATTGTTCAAAATGTTAAACAAATAAGATGTTTGGTTATTTACCACTTATTTCCCTTTTCATTAGATATTTTTAAGAATTAAGGATATTTTTATAATTTAATAATTAGAAACATAAAGTTTTTAAATACGCACCAAAAAAACCCTAAACCCACCATTATAAACCCTACCATAAAAACCCTAACAGAACCCTCCCCCATCCGTACAGTACACCATAAACCCTAACCCTAACCACCCCTTCACAACCCCATCCGTACATTACACCATTACTATATTTTGTATATCTATAATTTATTGTAATTGTTGTCGTTCTGCAAATAGTGTAATTCATAATTTAAGTTAATGCGTTGTTGTTATTTTCTTGATATTATTGTACAAAAAGTTAAACAACTAAGATGTTTGGCTATTTAAATATGATTTCCCTTTTCATTAGATATTTTCAAGAATTAAGGTTTTTTTTTATATTTAAATAATTAGAAACATAAAATTTAAAAAAACACAAAAAACACTAAACCCTAAACCCACCATTATAAACCCTACCATAAAAACCCAAACCCAAGAATAAGAAACATCCCCCCCATCCATATAGTACACCATAAACCCTAACTCTAACCACCCCTTCACTACCCCATCCGTACAGTACACCATAGCCAATAAATAAACAACTATTTTAATTATAAACTTAATAATTATGAATATAGTTTTTGGTAGTTGTTGTTGCATTTTGAGAATTTAGTTTAGGCTCAATGTTCCTCGCAAATAATATAGTAGATTTAAATCATGTTTTAAAACGAAAATATAATTTTTTTTAAAAAAGGAACAATAATAATCGAAACAGAAAAACCGACTTCGAACCCTATCTGGTAGTGTTTGACAATACGACCACCATCTTAGTCATTGGCCATCACGATGTCAATCACAATTGTTCAGCATATCCTTATATCCTTACATCTGCTCATTGTTTCCGAAAATATTATCAAAAGTAAATAAATGATTCAGTTTCTGATTAATGAAGAGATAAGGAGTATCAAGATTAAAGAAAAATAGATAAAACATACCTTTTATTGAAGTCATCAACCTCAGGAATGGAAGGATTCAAGGCGAATGTGGATGGAGCAATGCAGTAAATTGTAACCTTGCCTGAAATCACCATAAACGACTTTAACTTTATGTTTACAACACATAGTATAAAATTTTGCAATCTAAAAATTGTTACCTGCTCGAACTTCTATTAGTCCCCACCTAATGACGCAGATTACACTACTATGTTTCACTCTCATCCATTCCTTACAAAACCTTATTGCATTATTCCCAAACAATACGCAGTCTAGATGAACATTGCTGTTTAAAAAAAATTTAAAATATACATTTAGATCATTATCAGAATAAGATATCACTATAAAGATCAAAGAATATAATTACAAACTTGAATCACCTTTGGTCACGGACAGTTTTGAAACTTGATGCTAGGATCGATACTATCTGCATCATAACTCCTCGTTTTTCAATCAAAGCCTCTTTCCAGATAGTAGATTCACTTATATTGACAACCTCTCCTATCAAATCTTGTAAGAAAATAAAACATTAAAAGAGGGGTTAGATACATAAACAGTTTCCGAATATTAAGTATAACAATTCTTGAATATAATATACGTACCTACTAGATAATCATCACAGTGTGTACGATCTATTATTTTTTTCAAAATCAACAAAATTGAAGAAGTTTCTTACACTCGCGAAAAAGATCTTTGTGATGATTGTTGTTCGCATCAAGTATATTCGATTTAGATGCCAAGTAGCCCTACAATGTCCTGTCTGAGTAGTGACATCGAAATTCTTGATGTGAATCCAATCTCCCTCGTTGACCTTGCAATCATAAGCATCATAAACGGAAACATGCACAGTTGCTTGAATCTTCTCTCCCTGAAATATTTATCATACATTAGTTATAAAGATGAATAAGGTTTCAATGTTATCTATCTTATACATTATGTTATATCGGATCACCCAACTTTTTTGGCTTTATCCGATACCTCTTCATCAGATAGTATGAACTCTAATCTTTTAGCAGAAGTTGGGTGATTGTTTATCCAAAAACGCAAAACTTTGACCAAAATTCCAGAATCATGTGTCCTCGGCCCAAGTCCTGAAACTGTATACCTCTTCCTCAAGACCTTATCATACGTAAGAAGCTTCTTGTATGATATTTAATGGAATTTATTTGAGTAGGAGCGATCGGCCCATGTAATATCTTGATGACGGCTTTGATTGGTAGAATATTTTGATGATGGTACAAAATGTAATATCTTCTATGTAACCAATCACTAAAAAGTTACAAACCTAGTAGTACAAAAGTAGTAGTACAAAAACAATGTTACAAAACACTACAAAATGATGGTACAACTAAAAAAGTAATGGTACATTGAAAATCCCATAATATGAATGTATACAACTCTACTATTAGAATGCTTCAATTTTTTGTAATGCATTTACTATTTGTAGTGTCACCAATCAAAGCCCATATGTTCATATTGAAATCAACTGGATTGTTCTTCAGCAACCCAATTCTGCTCTCAAGTGCAATTTGATGAAGCAAATTAAAACCGTTAAATTGAAAATTGTTACATCCCTAATATATTAAAAGAGAAAACACTAACAAAATAACCTTTGTCTCATGTATTATTAACAAGAATACCATTGCTTAGATGTCATCACTAGGTTCACTCTTAAGGCAATTTATAATTAAGACAAACTTTACTAGACAAATTACATGTTATGTCATTCATATTTGATTAGAGAATAAAATATTTGTTATTAATTTAATCAGAAACATAATTATTATTTCAAAATTAATATCTTTATATTTCCTTATTTGGTATGACGAAAATTGTAGATACTTTTAAAAGTATTTATTAGTCAATCAATCAGTAAAATATGGAAAGTTTCATTCAATTGTATTATATCAAAATGAATTTCTTCTCCTATCATTTTTTCTTAACTTTACTTTTCAAAAATAAATTATATCATCACATCAAAATATTTAATTAAACAAAATTACTTTTTTTCTGCATATGCTATGGTTTGAATTTTTTTAAATGAAGCAAATCTCTAAAATTATTAAAAGTCACACATCGATTATATTTTGAGATAATAGTACAAAAACCTATTATAAAAAAGTATTCAAATGATCAAACATAAATAAGAAAACTGATTCATTAGGTTTCCAAACTTAGTTTTTTTTTATTTAATTTGGTTCTTTATTTGAATTAAATAATTAAATGGTTTATATATTTTTTAATATATTAGTTTGATCAAAAATTAAACACAATAAAATCTAATAACTTATCATATAAGTTAAATTATTTTAATTATTTGAAATTGATCAAAAACATAAAATATATATGCCAATTTATATTTATCAAAATATAAAATTATATTAAACTTATTAAAATTTGACATATATGTGAGTTCGGAAATGGAAAAATAGTCGTCACTCAAATTTCATCATGTTCCAAACCAGGCTAAAAAATATGCATCACTCAAAAATTTGTCAAATGTAAACTGACATTTTCTTATTTTTTAACGTTAGAATGGTATGTAAGTAGATATTTTTAATAAAATTAAATTAAGAAATTATCATCCCGTGCTGGGCACGGGTCAAACCCTAGTTTCATAATTATTTTTTCATTTAGATTGTTATTTCCTGTCTAGGTACATGTACTGACAAATACTTAATTGCCACTAGATTGATAAAAAAAATATTGTAAATTAACCGGTTAAGTTACAGCTAAAACTCTTGCCGTTACAGGTAGTCAGAGAAATAAAAAGGAAAGAAATCTTACTTTTTTTTTTGGTAATGAAGAAATCTTACTTTTTGGTATAAAATTTTTCAATAGTTGGCTAAATACAAAAAAGTAAACAAATCTCACCTTCGGATTTCCCTTATCTCCATTTCAGCATAATCGCGAACCATAGATTTTTTTTCCAAGAGCAATAGATTTCTCCTCAGTTTGTTGGTCGATCATGGGAATCAAGATCCAGATGATTGATCTGAACCAGCCTCCTGTGAGTGATGATGATGATGATGCGGACATGGACACCCAAAACCTAACGGGTGAAACAAGCAACCACATGGCTATTGTTGTGGCGAGTGAGAGTCCCAACTTGACGGAAGAAACAAGCAACGACTTGGCTCTTGTTCCGTTTGCTGTGGAAAACATCGAAGATTACGCTACGTTCAAATCTTGTCACCAGGTTATTTTTCATAGTTTTTGTTTTTTTTTTTGTTACGTTGGAACTGATCTGAACAGTGTTTGTATTCATCGTTGCCTATATAGAGATCTATTGTGGTATTAGATTTGATTCTATGAATTTCGTGTTAACACTTATGACATTAGGGTTGGTTGTTGCTTCAGCAAACGGGTTTTCTATGCAGTCACACCATGCATATGAGACATTGCATTTATTTATTTTCGAATTGGGGTTTTTTGTTGTCAGGCTTATGTTCTTTTTGGTTTTGAAATCACGATGAAAATGAATCTTAATCAAATGACAAAAAAAAAAAAAAAAGTTTTTATGTATTCAAATAAATATGTATGATAGAAGATTTAATTAATATTGCTTGAATCAATGGCTTTTGGGTTGCAGTGTCGTCGACCAAAACATGTTTACGGATCTTGCTTGACCGTTGGATGTCGTATTATGTTCTGTCCCCCGTGCTTAAAGTTCAGGTTCGATTTGATGTTTCGTAATTGTTGTCTCTTAATTTGTGCTAAGAGAAAATGTATTATGATTTAATTTAGTGATTTGAGTTATAATTATAGGTACGGAGAGATACTTGAAGCAGTGGTGGCGAATAATAATTGGCTTTGTCCTAGATGTAGGGGCGTCTGTAGCTGTAGCTATTGCCGGTAAGTCAAAATCTCTTGCAAAAATGTTTTCTAGAGTTTCATTTTGTAAATTTTGTGAACTGTTTTTTTCGTTCTTTTTTTCAGGGAGAAGATCGGTTTAGAGCCTACCGGGAAATTGATAACCTTAGTTAAAGAATTTGGGTGTAACAATGCACTTGAGTTCCTTGAGAAATATTGGGATTGTTGTAACCGTTCGGCGGAAACGGTACGTTGTGAAAGGAAAAAACAAGTGAGAAAAATTGGCAATGCAGCTAGAGAAAAGGTAACATTAAAAACCTACTTTGAAGTAGTCTACAATTTATAAGTATTGTTTAAACACTCGATTCATTGTAAAACACTTTTCTGTTTGTAGAAGAAACAACTGGAGAGAAAGATAGAATATGTGCTGGCTAGAGGTAAAATGGAGAACAATAGGATACCGCTGAGGGTTGATCAAAAGCTTGCGATTTTAAAGAAATTGGAGGCTGAAACTGAACAAGTGTTTAACGATCTGCATAACGCATTAGGAATGCAAAGTAAGACTACACAATTCTAATCTCATGTGATTCTTTCATAACATTTAAATGATAATTATTCTGTTCAGAGGGCTTATTTCTTGTAATTTTGGTTGTGCATAAAGGCTGAGGGGTTCAACATCGCTTACAAAAGGTAAATCATTTCTCATCGATCTATCTCTCTTAAGCTTATAACCTCAAAAGGCTTTTTAGCTTTTAAAATTGATATATACAAAACTTGCGACTAAAGCATCTAACAATATGAGTAAACCAACTTCTTTGCATGGAACTGTAGTAGGATTGATGCTAAAATTTGTTTATGGTTTTGCAAATTCTGAATTTTGAATTTCAACTCTTCATTTGTATCCTACTTTTTATTTTTGTATGATGAAAAAGGCGTCGTCGTCGTCGAACCAAAGAAGACACAGCATGGTTAACCATAGATCCTGAGTCGGCAGCAGATAACCATTGATCCTGATCATGAGTCGGCAGCAGATATCATTGAACTGTGTTAAAAACCATTTAAACTTGCGTACTTTGTTATGTATGAGACTTTCTTTTAAAATAAGACTATATCCTTATATTTGGGAGTTGTGGTAAGAATATTTATTAATGTTTTGAGCGAACAGATTTTATTAAAACCTGGAGAGAGACTAAAGAAATTAAAAAATCAAGGCTGCTACTTGAAGAGGACAACGAATAGGGTTTAGTACGTATAGCTTAATAAAACCTACCTAGGGCTTCATTTTTTCTTTTCTTTTAATGCACTCTAATATCCAACTCTAACACTTATTTTAATTTTCTTTCAATTAGTCGCATATTTGATTATAGTTAGTCCAAATTATACTAACAAATACCCTTCTTGCTGCTTATCCAAGTGCCTCTCTCTGGATTCTCGCATGAAGCCAGATGCAACTTTGGTGTCACCTAGGGCTTGATATGACTGAGAGACTTGTGACGCTTTTCTCAAGAGATTTGGTTTGCTGCTAGTGACTCCATCTCAAACTCGCGCGATTCAAACCCTGAACGTGGTAGTGTAGACATTGCTCAATGATGACATGATGATAGGTTTTCTAGCAAGAATCACTCTCTGACTCAGTTGCTTACTGATATTTAGTATCGTCAAATATAAAGTTTGTCACTTAATAAATAAGCTGAAACCAAAACTATACAAACACAAATAAGAAAAGAATCATAGAGTAATAACCAAAAAAATATTTCATTAAATTATTAGGGACAAAGAAACAAATTTAACAAGAAGTGCGAGAAACCACTTGCTTATTTTGATTGGATATGAACCAAACTTGGAACATAATTGAAAAGAAATGGCCACCATGATCGATCACTAAACTGTTGCAACCATGGGTCATTTGAATAAGAGATTTCTACTGTATCATCGTCTCTTCTGAGGCAAGAACAATAATTACAGCACAAGGCCACTTTCTTCTCCACGTGGATCAAAAGACTCGTGAAAGCATAAAAGTTAACGCTAGGACCGATCAAGTGCACTGCAAATTTGCTCCATGACAAGTCATCTTCAGGATCATCAATTTTGTTGGTCACCCACACCTCCACCTCTCCTGACTCATTAAAACATGTATAACATAACACTGAGAGTTCTTATCTAAAGACAGATAGAGCTATACGACGACTCATCAGAGAATGAGGAAGACACAATCGTCTAAGTCTCTCTCTCTTGTAAAATCAAAACGTTGTAAGTAGTGTCATTTCGTAAGTAGCCATCACAAGAAACCCAGTAAGTATTTCCATTCAAACACACGCCATCATATCTTGTTCCGTAGAAGTCGGGGGCATTAACAACTCTCCATGAATTAGAGCTTAGCTCATAGATTTCAAATCCTTTTGATTCCCCTTCCCCATACTTCAAGATTTTGTAGCTGCGGTAAGATTTCTTGTTCTCGTATCCAAGAGCAAACCTACAATGTTCGTGGTAAGGTTTCGTGAAACCATTACGGCAAGCATTCTTGCGTTGGATCCACCTGGTTTCCCATACAAAAAGGATTCCAAACAACGAATGATCTATTGTTTCTAGTGATACATAACAACAAACCGTCGCAGAATGGGTTTCTCAGGTTACATAGTCATGGGACCAAATAATTTATAGTTTTATTAATTAATTTAAATAAGCTCAAGCCAAACCAAAAATTAAAGAAAGTACACAACAGAAAGAAGAAAGGAATCGTAAAAAAGAAACAGGTGATTGAAGTACCAAATAAGTATATCATTCAAAAGTACATTGTCTTAAAAAAAACAAGAAAAACAAGAAGAAGAGCTGCAAGAAATCACTTGCTTATTTTGGTTGGATTTGAACCAAACTTGGAACATAACTGAAAATAAAAGGCAGCCACATTTTTTCATTATCCATGTAGCGTAAGAACAACGGTGGTTTTTTTACATAAGGCATTTCTGTGTAATATTCATCAGCGTCATCTCCGATTGTGTATACCACGTCCATCTTATTTGTATAGGCCTCAAAATCTATATTAGAACATAAGGCCACTTTTCTCTCCTCGTCGATCAAAAATTAGTGTTGGCTAGGGTTGAATGTTAACCCAACCCAAAAAATCAACCAACCGAACTAAACTCGAACCAACCGAATAAATATCCAGAATATAATTACATACACATAAAAATTCTTTATATATAAACTTATGATAAAATACATAAAATTACTATGAACTGAATATATAAGTTATATTTATATCCGAAACCAAACAAGGACTCGAAGATATATTTCTCCCATTTTTGCTTTTTCCAGATCACATGGTTTAGTTCGAGAAAATATTTACAAATAAACTTTAAGTTATAAAAAAGGTGCATAACTTCATTATATTAATTTATATGAATTTCTATAGAATAGATACTTATAAGCATAAAATATTACTAACAATAGTGATGATAAATAAGCATAAATACTAATTACAAAGAAACTATAGAAAAATTCTGAAAATTTAATATATACATATTAATATAAAAGATGTCAAGATGAAAAATTCTGAAAATTTAATATATACATATTAATACAAAATTTAATATATACACAAAAAAAACAGAATTATAAAATATATTTTAAATTTAAAATGAATATATATATATATACAAATATATTAGATTGTCAATTATAAATTAAATAAGAAATTAATATATTAATATTTCTGATTAAATTAAATGCTAAAATAAAATAAAATGATAGATCTGCAAGTGTACTAGTGATTTTCGTCTGTTAAATGCAGATGAAGAAAATATCACAAAAAGACAAAAAAAAACTGATTTGTATGCAGGCTGACTGTTTTTTTCCTGCATTTTTTTGATCTGTAAAATATCTGGTGAATGGTAACAAAATGCAGACTGCTCTGCAATATAGATTAGACTGCATTTAGCATGCATTTATTTTGTTTTCCATTCAAAGCCATTGGTTTTACACGTTTGCCCTAGAACCAATCTAGTCGGGACCCGGTCAACTACGGTTAGTCTTATCCACATCTCCAATTTAAGTCAGAAAATGCTTGAATACAAATCTTAGGAATATGAATGTGATATTGGTTAGAAAAATTACACATGCGTATCTAAAAGTGTGACTTTAATTGAAGAAGACGATGTTGGCTTTAACCTAGTTTGGAAGAAACGGTTCTTAAACACATCGCCTATTAATGTCGGGATCAGTGTTCTTTAATATCGTCAAATCCATAGTTTGTCACTATGTATAGTCAAAGTTTCTCAGGTTCACATAGTCATGGGATCAAATAATTTATAGTTTTATTCATTAATTTAAATAAGCTCAAACCAAACAAAAAAATTTAAGAAAGTGGTAATTAGAAATGCAGGCGGCCTGATTACCCCCTGGCATTAGTCGGAAGGCATTCCAAACTCGGGATAGGCAGTGTGGTAGTCCATAGGATGAGTCCACTTTGTAGCACTTATGTGCGTTCCTACCGGGGCTAACCGGAAGCCGATAAGGTCTATCAAAAAAAAAAAAAATTAAGAAAGTACACAACAGAAAGAAGAAAAGAATTATAAAAAAGAAATTTTGGAAATATACTTTTTGATGAGTTTTTAATTTGAAAAATACCCTTATTTTTTTAAGTTTGAAAAATACACTTTTTATTTGTTAAATTACTTAATTATCCTAATTTGAATTTTTCAACTAATTTAATAAAAACGAAATTCAAATAAGAAATATAAATATTAAAATTTGATTATGATTTGTTTTCATTTTAAAATAATAACCAATCCTAATTATATGTTTAGATTTTCTTAAAAGTTCTTTAAAAATAGAAGATTGTTTATATAAAGTTTAAATGAGGGTGAGATTGGTTTTTTATATAAAGTTTCAAAAATATTTAAATAAACATTAAAATTTGAAGATAGATATCTAGTTTGAAATTTTAATATTTTATAAATTTTAAATTTATGTAAAGTTTAAATTTATAAAGTTTCATTTGGTTGGAATGGGATGAGATTAAGGTTGTTTATATTAAATTCCAAAAATATTAAAATTTGTTCAAAGAAAACATTAAAAATGGAACATATAGATTTTCCACTTTGAGTTTTTTAAAATTTAACATATGTATATTTATCTGAATTTTTTTATTAGTTTTGAATTTCGTTTTAATTGTAATTGTAATTATTTATTAATGTTTTGTTTTAAATTAGGTCAAAACTGTCTTTTTACATTTCAAAAAGTGTATTTTTCAAAACAGAAAAAAACAAGGGTATTTTTCAAAATTTTAAACATAAATAGGGTATTTTTCAAAGAATTCCTAAAAGTAACAGGTTGTTGAAGTATCAAATCTTTATATTATTAATTGAGAAGTACATTCTAATGTTTGGATACAAGAATAAAAGAAAAATCTATTTGGATAGAAGAATAAATGGAAAAAAATTTGTTTGGATACAAGAATAATAACTTAAAACAAACCGACGGTTTAGAAAACTTCCGTTTTTCAGCTCTTAAAAAATCTGCAAAAAAGAAAAAATAAAATTAACATAATCTATCAATAATACCAAATCAATAGAATATGATCGAATGATATTTGAAAAATTTCAAATAGTAAAATATAAATACGTCTAATTTAAATCAAATTGTGGATTTCTGTTCGGGTTTTTTTGAAATTTACTGATCGGTTTGGGTTCGAGTGATATTTTCAAATATTCCAATAGTGAAATAGAAATATGTCTAATTTTAAATCAAATTGTGGATTTCTGTTTTCTGTTCGTGTTTGTTTTTGAAAATTTATGATTGGTTTGGGTTCGAGTTTTTTTTGGGTTTAGTTCAGAGTTTTCCGGATTTTTGGGATTTCGGGTTTAGACAAATAATTTTTTTTATGTGTTTTAAAATTTTTATTAGGATTTTTAGGTCGGGTTCGGGTTTCGGTTAAACAACTTTTGAGTTTTTTTTTTTTAAATTTGGTTCAAGGTTTTCGGGATTTTTTGGATTTCTGGTTTTCGGGTTTAGACATATTAAAAAGGTTTGGGCTTTTTAAAATTTTGATTAGGGTTTTTGGATCGGGTTCGGGTTTAAATTTAGATTTTCTTCACAAAGCCAAAACGTTAATGAGCTACATTACTCATTATGTTAATTAATCAGGTTGATTACCAAAACAAAACAAAACTAAAAACATTAAAAACATAACCCCGCGCTACTGCGGGTCAGCTACTAGTAAGTATATCATTCAAAAGTACATTGTCTTAAACGAGAAAAAAAAAAACAAGGAAGAAAAAAATTAAGAAGAGCTGCAAGAAATCACTTGCTTATTTTGGTTGGATTTGAACCAAACTTGGAACATAACTGAAAATAAAAGGCCGCCACATTCTTTCATCATCCATGTAGCGTGACCACACCCGTGATTTTTTTACATAAGGGATTTCTGTGTAATATTCATCATCGTCCTCTCCGATAGTGTATACCACGTTCTTGTTACTTGAAGCGAGCTCATAATATTGTATATCACAACATAAGGCCACTTTTTTCTCCTCGTCGATCAAAAGACTCGTGTAAACATAAAGACTATTAGCGCGAATACGGTTTGAGCCCATTGCAAAGGATTTGCTCCATGAAAACTCTCCTTCTGTATCAATTTTATTGGTCACCCACATCTCAAATTCTCGTGAACCACTTGTATTAAAACTTATCACTGAGAGATGCTTTTCTCTAACAACTGATAGAGCCATATATCCACGTGAACGATCCAGAGATTGGGGAAGACACAAAAGTCTAAATCTCTCTCTTGTAAAATCAAAACGGAGTAAGTGGAAATTACCTGTGTCATCATCAAGAGTAATCCAGTAGGTACTTCCCCTTAAACACACGCCAACGTATAATGGTCTGAAGCAGTGGTTGGGAGCATTAACAACTCTCCATGAATTAGAGCTGAAGCTATATATTTCATATACATTTTGTTTTCCTCTAAAAGACATCAAGATTTTGTAGATGCGGCAAGATTGGTTGCTTTCGTATCCAAGAGCAAACCTACAGAGTTTGTTGTACTCATTCTTGTGTTGGATCCACTTAGGTTCCCCTAAACACGGATTCCACACCACGGGTCTATTGTCCTTGGTGATGCATAACAACCAACCGTCGCAGTGATAAACTTCGGCTATACGGACTTGTTTTGAGTTTTTAGAATGGGAGTCCTTTAGCCTCAGTGCATCTTTAAACTCTATAGTCGGAGGAACAACGTTGAGATCGACGCTCATTGGACAAAGCCTATATTTCTTCAACATGAGAGTTAGAGGCTGTTTTGGAGCTCTACGTAAATGCTTCTCTGTGAATCTTTGGTCTTTGAGTAAAGCTTTCCATCGTTTGCAAGAAGATAGTAAGCGTTTCAGAGATGCTGCCGGAACCCAAGAGAGTATTTCCTCTTCTAATTCCGTCGGAAGATCCGGCATCACCATTGTTTCTCTCTCTGTCATCTGGTCTCCCGACGAAAAATAAAGACGACTCGGTGGGGCTCTCTCTAGGTAGAAGTTAGGGTTTTAGTAATTTATTTAATTTCACTTAACCAATGGAAAAATATTTCTAACCGAGATTTATTGTCCAACAAGCAAGACATCATGGGCCGAAATAAATGAACGTACGTGTAATTAATATGGTTATGAATAACAATGATGGCTAGAAAGGACAGGAGACATGATGTTTTGATATATGAGAATATAAGCTCATTTATTTGAAACACCACAGACTTATCATAAGATGGTGTTGATAACAAAGCAAAAACATCTTTAACAAAAAAGATAACAAAGCAAAAACATACAATTGCAATTACTTCCTTGTTTAGAGAAAATTTAATTCGGGAAGTACTTCGTTGAAGATATGACTTCAATATCGACTTCAGCCACCAACATATCACTCACAAGGAAACCCTTTGATTAATATTTGAGATCAGAAAGTGAGATAATTAAACTCATGAGAACCCCAACCAAATCCATCTCCATATCCACACTATAAGAATACAGCGTCAAACTGACAAACAAAACCGTCGATCATACGTCGGAAACCCTCTGTCTCAAACTCATGGGTCAATCCAGTTTCACAATATATGTCAATTAGCAAACTCATAAATATATTGCCATGCATTTTTACAAGGGTGAATTGGCTAAATAACCATACTGAGAAATGGAATTAAGCTTATAGCCATTACAGATGCATAATTGCCTGGGTGACAGAGAGAGTTGTGAATAGACAAAACTATCCTCCTTTTATTAAGCTGGAATTTGGACAAAACTATCTATTTCCATTCCATAGAGAACAACATAGAAACACACCTACTCATGAATTTGTGATCGTTTCCAGTTTATTATTTTCAGTTTATGCATATAGTTTCATAAATCGAACGAAATATTGATGTTCTCATAATCCAGATGACAAAGGAGCTTGAATTAGAGAAATATACTCTTGGCGTCCATGTGATTATCAAAAAAGTTCACTATCTTCTTCATATTACCAATTCGTTCTTCTTCGAATCCAGAAAAGAATATAAAGAGATAGAGATACAAAGAAGAAGAGAATAGTAATCCACTAATCCTAACACAGAAATTAAATAACATGAGCAAAGGGAAGAATAGTCAACTATCCGATTGATTTTCTCGATAGCGAATTGAAGTATGAGATTTTCCATAAGGCTTAGATTAGACTCGTTCTCTACTTGCTGCGGTTCAAATCGGCGGTGTAGCGGTCGCCGGAATCGGCGTTTTTGATTCTCTTCATCTCTAATCTTCCATGAACCATAAAACCCAATTTTCAAAACCCAGAAAAAGAGAAATTGCAGGAAACCACAGAGAAATCCAATTCAATTAGAACTAGAGAAACTCAATACAACAATCAAAATAATTAAACAATAAACCCTAAACACGAATTTGTAAACCCAAACCTTACATTCCCAAACCCTAAACACTACATTTTTAACCCTGAAAACCACATAGAAATCCAATTAGAACAGAGGTAGGGGAATAAAGGACAGAAATATCAAAGACAAAGATGAAATCAATTAAAGGGAGGAAGAGAGATCGGCAAAAAGCCAAAAAGGAAGGGAAGATGCCTAGATCGTGATTCTTGAGGGAGAGAAAGAAAAAAAAACTTGAAATGAAAAGAAAAAAAAAAAATTAAGAAAATTGTTTCTTTTTCTTCCGGGGTTATTTTGTCATATTATATTTTATATACAGCATATTATAGCCAATCAAAGAATATGGATACATCCTTAATTGATTGTTTTTTATGGTTATTCATTGATAAAACCCTTTTTATTTTGTATCATACTAAAAACGAGATGGTAGGCCCGCAACACACACGAGCATAAGTTGGTTTTTTAAAATACAAACACCTATATACAATTTTTTTTTATAATTAAAATATTACAATAATTTTTCAAAAAAATGAAATAAAAAGAAAACTATCAAAATATGGTCATGTAAATAAATATTCAAATCATACCAAATGTTTTAGAAAACTTCTTTATATCAATTGATTTAATATACTTTCAGAAATGTATGTCTACCATTAGGTTTGCTTGACGAAGAAGATGGTCCACATTAGGGGTTTTTCTATTAATGATTGTCACTTGACTTTATTTTTTGTTTTATTATTCTTATATTTTATTTATCGTATTTGTTATGTTTATCTATATTACTGAATAAAATATCATAATTTTAAAAAATTGTTTATTACTTATTTTCTTTGTCCATTTTTGTAGATATTCTTGAACAAAAGATTTTAAAACTGCACACAAAACCAAACCCTACATGCACCAATATAAACCATACTCCCTCTATCTCGTATTATAAGCAGATGGGCAAAATGTATCTGAAAAAAAAGTGGATTCCATCCAGATACCTCCACTTTTTTCAGATACATTTTGCCTAACTGGTTATAATATGGAACAGAGAGAGTACCTTCTAAACCCTAAGTTTTTATCACATTCTTTTTCTCCCTTCCTATTATTCCACATTTTGTCTTACACTTCTTCGAGATTTTTTTCCAGCAATTTTGAAATATAATATTTTGATTTCAACTTTTCCAATATTTTGATACTATCATTAATATCTTCAAAATTTGAAAAATATCATTAATATTTACAAAAAAAAATTCAGTATCTTCTCCAATCAGATCTTGCGTTAAATAATATTAATTGTAAATTCAGTTTTCCATGAAAATCATATGTGTATAATATGTTAAGATTTTTTCGTCATTCCAGTCAACTAAATGGTAATTTTTTAAAGATTTTTTTCTAATGAAAAGCTCTTTCTCACACATAAAAATTTATTTATATATGTAATTTTCGAAAATTTTAAATTCCGTTATTTCACACTTATTCAATAATAATGATAAAATTATTACTAATCAAACCTATAAAATGATATAAAACTGTAGGAAATAGTATCTAGTATTTGATAACCTATTAAAAGTGGACATATTATTCTATGTGTATGGTAGTAAAAAAATATCAATTATATTTATTGTGGTTCATTTTACATGTATAGTATACTATATATTTTCCCAAAAAAGTGAACAGTAAGTGAAAAGTTGGACCATAAAATTGTCAGTGTCACCCATTTAAATATGAAAGATTTGTATTGGTATGGTTCCCTCCGGACAATTGGCCGTACTGACTCTGGCTTCCCACGTCTGCAGTTTGTTTTTCTCTCCTATTTCGACTTTCGACTGTCTGAGGAATTCCTGACAGCGATTCCTGCCTTTCTTTAAAATAATATTCATATGGAAATTTAAGTTAACATATTTTCAAAGAAAAATATATATAAACATATAAAAGATTCATAAATATAAAAAACCTGAAATCTGTGGTTTTTTAATAATTTACTGTAAAGTGCCGGTTGTATCATTTTGTCAACGCACTCCACGTCATCTCCATCTGAGGCCTGTTAAAGAAAAAAATCACAAATATACAAAAACATATGACAAAACAAATGTATGGAAGAAGAACATATAGTGTATAACTGTGATACGTTCAGGTGTAGATGTTCAGGTCCAAACGTATCTCTAAGCCTATTAAACAATTAAATTTCTTCGTTTTCTTCTTCATCATCGCGTAAATGAAGAAGAAAACGAAGAAATTAATCCTTAAGAAAAAGAGAATTATGAATTTGAAACTTGAGATTGATTGTTCTAGACTTTGTTGGCGTGCTGATTACTGAGATATAAGCATAATATAAGTAAATTTTAAGCAAAACATATGTGAATTATAAGCAAAATATAAGAAAAATGACAAAATCATTATATTTTGCTTATGTATACTTTTCGAAATCATTCTCATGTTACAGTTTCATCATACTTGTTAATTTCATCAAACTGAAATTTTGGAGTATACTTAGTTCTCTTTCTAGTTTAGTAAAATATTACCAGTAATATAATTGGATGAGTTTGTCCTTTTTAGGGCAAAAGGTTTTAGAATTATGGATTAAGATCAGCAGAAACCATAATGGTGAGAGCAAGTGTAGTGCGGTAAGATTAATGTTGTACAAGCAATAGGAGAATGATGTACGGCAGCAAAATTCCCGAGAAATCCATCATGTAATTTCGCCGTGGAAAAAAAGTAAAAAAAGTGAAAAAAGTTGTTCCATATAGGTCCTAACTGGTAACAAAATAATTGAGGAATCATGTGGAATGCTGCAGAATTTTTTACATGGGTTACCAGTTAACATTGTGGAATGGAATTCTGAGGATTTTTTTTTTTTTTTTTTTTTTGAATTTTTTTTAATGGAATGTTGATGTGTCAATTTTCTATGGATCATCTTTTTGGAAAAAAAAATACTTTCACTAAATGATATTTTAGATATTGTTTTCCTAAAAATCAACTTTCCTAAAAATCAACTTAAAAAAATAAATATGTATTACATAGCTTACAGACAGTTAAAAAAAAAGAGAAAATGATCTAAGAAAAAGCCTTAATTAGTTGAGATAAATATATAAATATTATTATAAGTAGCTTGAGAATTTGAGTATCTGTTTGGGTTTTGATCGGGTTATTTTGGGTTTTGGGTTTTCAGGTTTAGACCCATTCGGATTATTTTATTTTCCGAATCGGGTTTGGTTCGGATTTGTCCTGGTTCGGGTCAGATTCAAGTACCTGGATGATGTAAACTTTATTTAATTTAAATGAATTTTGGTTAAGTTTTGCAAAAATGTATTTGATTTATAACTCTTTTTTAATATTTTGAAGTATTTAGATTATTTCAGTATAAATATAACTAATATATTCAGTTTATAATTGTAATTTTAGGTTTTTATTTATTTTAAATCTACATAGCCATTTTTAATATATAACTATATGAATCCAAAATCCAAAATTCTATAAATTTTAATAATATATTTAATTGAACTATTATTTATTTATTTCATAAATATTTATTTAATTTTAGTTTAATGAATCAACTGTGTAAATATTTTGTTATTCTGTTACACAAATAATTTGTTAGGTATTTTTTCCGCATTCAGCATTCAGCAAGATTCTGCTATTACGATTCATGTTACGAATTAATCAGCCAGATTCCGCAACTATTCACCATTTAATTCAGTTAGATTCCGCATTCAGCAAAATTCGTCGGTTACCATTTAGACCCATAGTTTTAGGTGTTGGAAAACATGTCACCAAAAGAATGAGAAAAAAGTTGGTTTATGAGACTATAAAACACGAAAAAAAGACGAACCAGTGTTTTCTTTTTTTTTGGCTAAAAAACAGATATCGGCTTTGATTGGTAACAATATAATGGAGTGTTACAAATTGTAATGCATATAGTAACCATTCAAAGAGATATTATATATATATGATAGTACAAAAATGATATTACAAAAAATGACAGCATAACAAGGAAAACTGATAGTACAAGAGTTGTAACATTGGCACAAGTGTAATGCTGCTTTGATTGAGTATTTCAAAAATAAAGTGATGGTACACAATATTTCTCTTTATTTTTATTTTTATTTTTAGACCAAGGTTTTTAAAAGTGTTTTGATTTTTTTTGGCTAAATATTATTGCTCAATAATGTTTTTTATACCTACCATGAAGGATGTATTATTAAATCACTGAAAGTTTGTTGAAAATATAAAATAAATATTATCTTCTCTTTTAATAATTCTCATTTTATTTTTCATAGTACCTTTTTAAATAAACAAATAAAACATATTCTTGTCTAAGAAATTAATTGTGGTTGTGTATATTTAAATTATAATTATCTTGAAATTTACTTGGTCAATCAAATTTTCATATTTAGACCTAGCACTAAGTATTTCTGTTTACGTATAAATAAAAATGTATAAGAAGAAAGTTCCATATTGAACGGTTTTCTTTTTGTGAAAACATAACTTCTTATTTTTATTTTTGTATAAGGAACTATTATAACAAAACAGACATTTATTAAAACAAATACTAGAAAATTGCTTATATACTCTTAATTACTATATACTTTATTTTGTATGTGTTGTTAAACTTTTTGTTGAAAATAAAATATGGTATGTTATATTTTAAGACTAATCTAATTTACTCCCTCTGTTTCAAATTAGTTATCGTTTTGGCAAAATGTATCTGCAAATATTTGGACGTATATGGACATGTTTTGCATTGCAGATACATCAAAATAATTGTGGATACATTTTCCCAAAACGACAACAAAATAATACATTTTAGTTATACATTTTGATGTTTTATCAATTAATGTCTCCATCATTAATTTATTTTACTTGTTGAATGTAAAATACATTATTCTTTTTTTTGTGCAAAATACCAATTATCATTAAAAGTTTAAACCGGTCCCTGACCACAATGTTATAATTGTTACTAATCGGAATTCACTTATCTTGTCTTTAAAAAAACTTATAAATAATATGTAATATTATTTTACTAAGTGAATGTGTTGGTAATTTTTTTAACCTAAAATAAAATAGTTTGTGTTATATTTTTAGACACTATAAAAGAAAAATTAATTTTATTGATTGATATATCTGTTTAAAAATACACTGTTTGTACTGTTAAAATGTTACCAATGAGAATTCAAGTATTTACTATCATTTTATACTATCTTGATTTATACTGCTATTTTTTTGTATTGCTGTTTTTTGTACTACTATCTTCCATACCACTAAATTTTTTGTAATATACTACTATTCACTAGGTTACCAATGCACTAGGCCTAACAATAACGCGCTATTATTGCAGTTACCAATAGAAAAATATTTCTAGCTATTATTTATTGCAGTTACCAATGGAAAAATATTTCTAACTGTGATTTTTTGTCCAACAAGCAAGACATCATGGGCCGAAATAAATGAACGTACGGGTCTACGGGAGAAGCCTCGTAAAGTTTTTGTTATATACACAGTATACACTGATTATGCATTATGCATAATGTACTTCGAAAGAGCAAGTTTAACCACGGAAATATAAGAAGAGTAAAAATATTTTAGTTCTGATCTCATCATTAAATAGAAAAAGTCCAAACCAACTGAAATTATTCATATCTTTCCCGGAATGACCTAATTATACTGTAAGATTCTCCTTTTCACTTGTATTGAACGTTTGAATTGTAATATTCATACTAGTTAGTTTAGGTCTCATGTAGTGTAGACAGAGCCGGCCCTGGGAGCATGAGCAAGCAGGGCTTGCGGCCCTGTGTACAATAACTTAAATTTCGGCCGCTATTCCTATCGAATTTCCTTTAGGTCTGTTGGTTAAACACACTCATAGCCATGAAAATGGTACAAAGTTCGAATCCTACTCAACTCATTTGAACTTTTGATTTTTTAACCTATTTTTCACAGGCCCAAAATTGATTTGAGCTTGCGGCCCATGTAATTTCAGGGATGGCTCTGAGTGTAGAGGCAAAAAAACTAAACAGTTTTAATATGGTGGCTAGAAAGAAGAGGAGCCATGATGTTTTGATATATGAGAATATAAGCTCATTTATTTGAAACACAAACACAGACTTATCATAAGGTACGTGGTGTTCATAACAAAGCAAAAACATACAACTGCAACTTCCTTGTTTAGAGAAAATCTATTTCGGGAAGTACTTGGTTGAAGATATGACTTCAATATCGACTTGAGCCATCAACGTATCATTCACAAGGAAACCCTTTGATGAATCTTTGAGATCAGAAAGTGAGATAAACTCATGAGAACCCCAACCAAATCCATCTCCATATCCCGGACCATTGAACCAATTATCAACTGCCAAAAACAGAAAGTTCACAAGATAAACAGCTTATTAGTTCAGTGAGTGTATACTAGAGTAGGCCCGGGTAGACGCGAGATTTATAATATCATATTTTATAACACGTGAAAAACAAAATGGACCAGAAAAAAAAAAACAGATTTTTTTTTGTTCACATGTTATAAAATATGATATTTTTGTCATCTGCTTACGTTGCTTTTCGATGTTGTTGTATCTGCTACGTTGGTTAAGAAGTCGAAGTTTGGCCCGAACATAAATCTTCTCATAAGGTCTGAATTTCTCGTTTGCGTTGAGAATAAGATATATGGACAAGGCTTTTCCCTCTCCGGTGACACGACCACTTGGATTCACTTGTATATTCCTGATCATGATACATATTAGTTACTTATACCACTATACACTCTGACTAAAGCAGAAAAGAGCTTAATATTGTGGACTCACCAGTCTCTTCCTCCAACGGAGAACACATCTGAGTAGTTAGAGCATGTGCAGAGACTATGAGGGTTTCTTTAAACTTTTGTTTTTTTTTTGTTTTTTAATGATTTTAGAAAAAAATAAAAAAATCGAAACCCAATCACGTGCTGACACGTGGAGAGACGTGTCAGAGAAACGGTTCTGGAATCTTCCCCGGAGAGACGTCTCTCGCCTTGGGACTCGCCATGTAGGTAAATGTTTTTATTTTTTCTTTTTCTTTTGGCTAAAGAAACTCTCATAGTCTAGGTAAATGCTCTACGTATCTCGAGAAGCGTGGAGAATCCACGGATCGTCCAGGTGAATTTCGAGTTTTGGAACTTCTCAGCGATAGAGAAAAGCTCCGATTTTTTCAAAGTGAGTAGGAATGGTCACATCAACACCAAACTCGCAGAGTCGCAGTGATCTCCATCGTATAAGTATCCGTTTCTCGATTCTTAAATGTACCAACAGAAATAACTTGAGAGAATCCCTAGATGGTTGTGAAGAAAGTGAATGTCCATCCATCCGTGTCTACAGCAAACAAAACATATTTTTTTAGAGATTATTATAGATGTGCATCTTCTTATTTAAAAATCTAACCACAATTTTTTTGTAGGTTGAAAAACCTTGTATCGTAAAATACTTCTTCTCTTTCCTGTTAAAGACGTAAAACCTTAGGTCCACGTAAACTTCTTGATGTGGAGAGAGAGTTGAGTTGTCTATGGTTACGCAAAGCGAAAGGTACCCTGAATCTTTATCCGTTTTGTTTTCGTTCGGGTACACAACAAGTGTCCTGTTTGTTTTTTGAGATCCCACACAAGATTTAGTTTCACGTTTAAGTGAATAAAGATAAGACTATCAAAGGTACCAGTTGTATCCAGCGGCGGAGAAAGGACGAGACTCATATCTTTCAATGTTCTTTGACTTAAAGAGCGTGTTAAAAGACTCAATCTTTAGAGAGTAAGACGACGGAGGACGATCTCTCAGACCCTTCACCGTATTTGAGGCTGAGAGTTTATAATCACGTGCCGACATCTCTTGATTTTTATCTAAGTAATGCGCTTCTCCCTGGATTGGGTTTGCTCTTTCTCCATTATCCTCTGTTTTGAGAAAAGAAAGAGCATTTTAAAAGCAAAATAGACTTGTTTAAAATGTTTAAAATATATATTAAATGGATTTGGATCAAATCTAAGAGCAAAAAGATATTGTATACGCTGCATATTTGATATTTGTGTTGACGTCATCAGTGTATTGTCGTATGAAGGAACGTGAAGCGGCAGACGTGATGAAGAGGCAGAACAAGAGATAAGAAACGGTGTTTGTGTGGTGACTTGTCATCTTTGGAGGTTATATTGTGAATGAAGTGTGTAGATTACTGAGATTAGTGAGACTTTATATAGTTGAGAGGGATGATGCATCATGCATGCTTTAGAACGATTTGGAGGACTCCAGATATTTGTGCAATTATTACATGATACTGTTGTTTCTTTGTCCTTTGTTTCTTTTATTACCTAATCTGTTGCCTCGTGTTTGTCATGGAATAATAAAAGTTGAATGTCTTTTTTCAATGATAAGGTCACAATTATCATGAGAATTATATATTTTTCTTTTAAGTTTATAACCCTCAATCAATGAAAATGCAAAACAACCATCTTATGAAGGAGGATAACACTATTTTTTTTCCCCTATAAATGCTTCTCTTACTTACAGTACATCAATAAATTTGAAATTTCATCAAAAAAAAAAAGTCACTGTTACGTAGGGTGATTTAATTAGCAACTATACTAGAAAAAGGATTAGTAATGTAACTACGAATTTTCTGGGCCCATCTTCTCTTCGGCCCAACAGACGTAAGAAGCTCACACAAATTTCTCTACTTGGTCAGCTCTCGTCTTCCCCAGGACCATTCTTCTCCGGTTTGCAAAATTCGATTTTCTCTTCATCTTAGGTTCTGAGATCAACAACACAGTGAGCAGCGAATCACCGATTTTTTCGAGAGCGTCCGAACAGAAATTAAAAAAATGGTGAAAGTTCGTATGAACACGGCCGACGTTGCCGCAGAGGTCAAGTGCTTGAAGAGATTAATCGGCATGAGATGCTCAAACGTCTACGATATATCTCCCAAGGTACAAATTTCTGCAAATACGCACTCACCGGGAATCAATTTCGTCGATTTGATTTGATTATCGTTAGGGTTTATCCACTATATACAGTTTTTGTTTGATTTTGCTCCAATTTGATTTTTGCAGACTTATATGTTCAAGCTCTTAAATAGTAGTGGAATCACAGAATCTGGGGAGAGCGAGAAGGTTTTGCTCTTGATGGAAAGTGGTGTTCGTTTGCATACCACAGCTTATGTCAGGTTAAACAAAATATTCAATCTATTCAATCTAATATTTCAAGGTTTTTGTTGGGAAGCAGCCATGGTTGATTTTCTGGGTTTCTTTTTGTAGGGATAAGAGCAATACTCCATCTGGGTTTACTTTGAAGTTAAGAAAGCATATTCGTACTAGGAGGCTTGAGGATGTACGGCAGCTTGGTTATGATAGGGTAATGGAAGTTGAACATTTATTGTATTGGTTTTGTTTGGTCACATTAGGGTTTTAGCTGAATGTTGCTTACTTCTTTTGGTATTGGAATCAGATCATTGTCTTCCAATTCGGGCTTGGTGCTAATGCACACTATGTTATATTGGAGTTGTATGCTCAAGGAAACATCATTCTTACTGATTCTGAGTATATGATCATGACTCTCCTCCGGTCACACAGGTTAGTTACTTTATCAATTCCTTTTATCAAATCGTTTGTATTTGGTAGAGAAAAATTGAACTAGTCAAGGTGAGTGTGATCACCCTCTGCTATGAGAGTGGCCTTTTAAAGTGAATTGCTTGTTTCAATTCTTGCAGAGATGACAATAAAGGTTTTGCTATTATGTCTCGCCACCGTTACCCCATAGAGATATGTAGAGTCTTTGAGAGAACTACAGTTTCGAAGCTGCAGGAATCTCTTACTGCCTTCTCGCTTAAGGATCATGAAGCAAAAGATATTGAAACAAAGGAGCAGAATGGTGGCAAGAAGGGTGGGAAGTCGAATGATTCTTCTGGTGCCAAGCAATTTACCTTGAAGAATATTCTTGGTGACATTTTGGGGTATGGGCCACAGCTCTCAGAGCACATAATACTCGATGCTGGTCTACTTCCAAGTAGCAAAGTTTCAGAAGACAAGAAGTTAGATGATAATGAGATTCAGCTATTGGTTCAAGCTGTCATCGTGTTTGAAGATTGGCTTGAAGATATTATGTATGGTCAAAAAGTCCCTGAAGGTTATATTCTAATGCAGAAACAACTTTTGGCGAATGACACGTCTTCTGAATCAGGAGATGTTAAAAAGGTCAAAACTCAACTCTATCGATGCCTTTTATTTTTTTTCGGTTTTTTTTATTATTAATGGCAATGGAATTCTTATATTGTATTTTCTTTGCCTGGTTGTCTACAGATGTATGATGAGTTCTGTTCAATCTTACTAAATCAATTCAAATCAAGAGTGTATGAAAAGTTTGAAACCTTTGATGCGGCTTTAGATGAGTTCTACAGCAAAATTGAGAGCCAAAGGTCTGAATATCAACAAAAGGCAAAAGAAGATAATGCCAGTCAGAAACTCAATAAGATTCGCCAGGATCAGGTTTGTGGTATCTCCATTTACGTATATCGCTGTAAAACTTAATCCATCTTTCAAACCTATCTTCATTGCAATGTTTTTGTATTCATGTTGTAGGAAAACCGAGTTCAAATTCTAAAGAAAGAAGTCGACCGTTGTGTTAATATGGCTGAGTTAATTGAGTACAACTTAGAAGACGTAGATGCTGCGATATTAGCTGTTCGTGTAGCACTTGCAAAAGGTATGGGCTGGGATGATCTAGCTCGCATGGTGAAGGAGGAAAAAAAATTAGGAAATCCTGTTGCTAGTGTCATTGACAAACTTAATCTAGAGAAGAATTGCATGACCTTGTTGTTGTGCAACAATCTCGATGAAATGGATGATGATGAGAAGACGCTTCCAGTGGAAAAGGTGTTTGACTCTTCCCTACATTGCATACAAATAAGATCATCTTCTTTCTTGTTCTGACATATGCAGCAATGATATGTGGGTTTCGTAGGTGGAGGTTGACTTATCACTTTCTGCCCACGGTAACGCTAGGCGTTGGTATGAAATGAAGAAGAAACAAGAAACCAAACAGGAGAAGACTGTTTCTGCTCATGAAAAGGCTTTTAAAGCAGCTGAGAAAAAGACACGCCACCAGCTTTCTCAGGTAAGCTTCCATCTTCATCTCTTGTTTACTGTTTTTTTCTTTCTTTTTCTGGCAGTCAACTTATCATTTGCATTCTTCCATCTAATAGGAAAAAGCGGTTGCAACTATTTCACACATAAGAAAAGTCCACTGGTTTGAGAAGTTCAATTGGTTCATTAGCAGTGAGAACTACTTGGTCATCAGTGGTCGTGATGCTCAGCAAAATGAGATGATAGTTAAACGTTACATGTCGAAAGGAGATCTGTAAGCTGTCATGTTTATAGTTCTTTTTTTTTTTCTAAATCTTTGTGTTGCATTTAAATATTCAATATTCAACTAGTATCTTAAATTTATTTTCACCATGCTTTCTTAGGTATGTACACGCAGAGCTTCATGGAGCATCTAGTACTGTGATAAAGAATCATAAACCTGAACAAAGTGTACCGCCTCTCACTTTAAACCAAGCTGGATGCTTTACGGTAAGTGGCTTCACCCACCATTTTAGTTGGTTGGAATTGTGTGACTATGGTGCAATGTCTTGATGCCACAGGTTTGCATGTAAAATCATCGATGCAGGTTTGTCATAGTCAGGCCTGGGATTCGAAGATTGTGACGAGTGCATGGTGGGTTTATCCTCATCAGGTCACTAAAACAGCTCCTACTGGAGAATACCTTACAGTTGGAAGTTTCATGATAAGAGGTAAAAAAAACTTCCTACCACCAGCCCCGCTTATCTTGGGCTTTGGATTGTTGTTTCGTTTGGATGAGAGCTCCTTGGGAGCTCATCTGAATGAGAGAAGGGTTAGGGGTGAAGAGGAAGGATTGAATGATGCTGTAATGGAAACACATGCTCCTGATGAGCTTTCCGATGCTGAGTCAGAGAAGGAAGCAGAGAATGTAGAGGTTTCTGCCCCAGGAGAAACCGATTTACAAGAATCAAGTACAGCATTGAGCCAAGACACCTCTTCTTTAGACATAGATTCATCTGGAGGAAATGATGCATCAGCTACCTCACAGCTTGAAGATCTTCTTGATAGAACCCTTGGTCTTGGTACTGCCACGGTTGCAGGCAAGAGCCATACAATAGAGACATCAAAGGACGAAATGGAAGAGAAGATGGATCAGGAAGAGAAAAAAACAGCAGTGAGAGATAAGCCTTACATGTCAAAAGCTGAAAGAAGAAAGCTTAAGATGGGCCAAAGCGGTAACACTGGGCAAGAAAAGGAAAACGATGTTTCTAGCGGTAACACAGCCGCTGATGGTAAGCCTGGGAAAGAAAAGCAGCCACGAAAGGAAAAAGATGTTTCTTCTTCAAGCCAAGCCAACAAGAGCTTACCTGTTAACAAACCAGCTGGGGAGAAATCTAGCCGTGGACAAAAGGGGAAACTCAAGAAAATGAAGGAGAAATATGCTGATCAAGACGAAGAAGAAAGAAAAATACGAATGGCCTTGTTGGCTGTAAGTACTTTCTGAATTCACCAGTTGGATAGCTTCTCAATTTTTGTAAATAGTATCTGAGTTTGGGAAAAACTGAATTGTCTTCCCTGTGCAGTCATCTGGAAAGCCACAGAAGAATGAAGTTGAATCACAGAACGCAAAGCCTGCAGTCACCAAAGAGAAGAAACCTTCTGAAGGTTTTAACTTTTTCAACCTTTCTCATTTGCCTGATATTGTTTTCTTCACGTACTTAGGGTTGTTTGGTGGTGTTATTGTGTGCAGAGACGGACGATGCTGTGAAAATATGTTAC